TTCTACATGCAACGTCGGGATATCAAGAGGCATGGTGGCTGGAATTTGCCTAACGCACTGAGTATTCATCAAAGTAGAGCGATCAACCTCTGTTCTCAAATAAGGTGAGAATCAATGGGGGTACACCCCAGACCTCCCTTTATCAACATAAGACAAATTCATATTTATCGATAAAAAAGAAGCCAACACATTTTCCTTATAGCTCATGGAAAGAGTAGGCACATCAAATGTGGGCAAATGTCACTCAAACAAGATCACAATAATACCTGACACAACATCTGGTACAGTGGCACTAACTACCACACGAAGGGTCCAATGCAACACATCTGCGGTTCTCATGGACTGCACAACAGATATCAAATATCCTGGCCTCGTAACGGACGGACAGGCAAACCTCGGTCTCCTACTACGAGGGCCTATAAGACAAGATGCATAAAAAAAAGTTCTTGGACATTTGGAGGATCCGAGTAAGGAATTTCTCTCAAAGAAAAGGACCCAGTCCTCGTAGAGGGGAAATTGCTCCAATAATCTTCTTGGCAAGAAGATCTGTAGTGGAGTCATTAATATGGGTCGTAGAGTTAGAGCAATCTACGTCTTGAGGAAAGGAAACCCTCACAGCTATCATGGTTGGGGTGTAATCCACACAACCAGACAATACAATAGAGTGATTCTCAGCAAAGGGAGTGCCAAATTTCCCATCAACTTGAACCACGACATGTAAAGAGACCTGCGGCTAGTTCAGCTGCCGTAATTGCAGCAATATGTTTTTATTCCTCTGAAGCCCTTGGCCAATGTAGGGACAAACGAGACCTCGGAGAAACCCAGAACAATGGAAGTTGGGATGATCGTCAAACTAGCGGAAACATTTTTTTCTTAAATAGAATGTTGCTCCTACGATTTTCTCAGTCAGAAAACTCGTGGTATCAGCAAAAACAACATGGACTACAAGATGAGAACGACCTGCATCCCGGTGAGGAATGATCCCCCACACAATCCTGGCTGGAACATAGTCCATATTGTCAGACATAGGAGAAAAATGATTCTCAACTAAAGGGATTTGAGCACCATCTCGTGCCAGAACCGAAAGGAATTATGGTGGGGACATGGTCCACACTGTCAAAGGACAAAAAGGGTGATTCTCAGCTTACGGGACACAAGCATGATCCTGGGCCGGAACCAAAGAGAGTCATAGCGGTGACATACCACACCGCCAAAGGACACTATCATAAAAAGGTAACTCTAGCTCACTTAGATAGTGCTACATCCGCGGGATGAAAATCCTCAAAACACGGAAGGACTATAAAAGAGGCAAGGAAACGAGAAAGAGTGTTGTAGCGCATCCCTCTTCCTTTAGAGAAAAGTAGCATCGATACGAGCTACTATAATGAAAAGAGTGTTACATGTACAACTCCTCATTTTCAAAGGAGGGCACACAACAAGCATCCGGTGGGGATGTAGTCCACACAACCTGAGACAGTAGCAAAATGACTCACAATTTGGGGCCAAAGACACCTCCTAAACTGGCATCGGGACATATATAGAAACTTGAAACAAAATATACTGCTAAATTTGCAACAATCTATTCCTAGTCCTCCTGGTCTTCCTACCTAATCAGGGGACATGTGGATCCTCAGAGGAACCAAAATAGAAGAAGAGAGCCGAGACATAGGTCACAATAGCGACAGTAGTGAAAAACATACCGCTGACAAAAGACTCACTTGCCTATGGCAGGGAGATCAGTGAGAATACAGAGGGATGGGTCTAGAAAAGACCGTCAGGTGTTGCGACGCTTTGGTATCGAGCATCGACCTCTTTTTGCAAAAGAAGCGGGCGCAACGCCAGCCACTGCAGCAAAAATAACTCGATGTGCACGACTCCCCTTTTAAGGGAGGGCACAAAGAAAATGCCTCAGAGGGCGTAAGATCACGTAAGGTAATCCCACATGGGTGCTCAAAGAAATCGAAGGTTATGACACCCTACACTCGTGACATCAAAAATTGATGCCAACATTATTGTCTCGACAAGGAGTATCTAATGTTGATTATTTATTATAGGTATCAATATTAATTCTGTATTCTGGATAGCATCCTTTATAATGTGTTCGACGAAGGGTTTCACATTACCTTGTCTATACAACTGCACCATGAAGAACATAACAACATTCAACATATTGTCATGCAAGATTAATATACACAACTTAATAAATAAATACACAACTTAATAAGCTTACCCAATGGCATGTCGATACATATAATTAGATCTATATATATGTGGTGCATTACACCGCTTATTCTCCATCAACATGGCAAAACAATCAGCCTGCTCATTGCCTAACCAACCATTTCCCAAAAATTCATCAAGATAACGTCGCGACACTAAAATATGTCCCATGTCAATTAATAGGTCAGCCCTGAATTGGAAATATAAAATTACTTTAGTTAACAGTTACAAAATTAATGATAAATAATAAGAAGAATTAGATGAACTAACAAGTCGGTATATTTTCTACAACATATATCAATTGTCTCCCACATATAATCAGAAATTTCATCCATAGCAGGAAAGTATATTACTTGTGCTGCTGGCTGGACCTGTAATATAATCAAATCATAATCTTTACTGAACAAACTTAAATAATTAAACATAACATTCCATATCTTGTCTGGGTAGTCCTCACTAACATAATGACTGACTGGCTTGAGCGTTTCTTCCTCCTTATGTACAGATTCAACCTCTTCTTGAGATTTGATTACCTGGTCTACAACCACTTCTTCTTCTTCTTTATTTTCAACCGATTCCTTAATGGGTTCTTTCTTTCGCTTTCTTTCAAAAACAATATATGGGGAGCTAAGAGACTTTGTTCTTCAAGCTTCATTGTGGGGATTCTTTAGCCCATCTTCTCGGCAATTCCACCGATGTTTGTTTAATTATTTTTTCTACTCGCACGACATGAAACTTTAGGTCGGTCACTGTGTTCTCTAACGTTGTCAGTCGACTATAAACAGAGTCTTCAAATTCAAAAATTGTATTCTCTAACTGGGTTAGACGATTGTCAACTGATACTTGAAAGTCCAATATAATTTTTTGTTGGGACTTCAATAAATCGTGGATTTCTTCAAATCCAAGTGTTTGTCCCATCATCTGACTCGACTATTCATATGTATGACTGTCAGATGTTTGAGTACCAACATAATAAGGTACTATAGGGGAGATTTCAACATGCATGGGTGACTGTGGTCTTGAAAGGGTTTCCCTCTGTGGGAGAAACTTTGCTGGACTGGAGGGCTCTACAAGTGAATTGACAAATAAGTGATGTTCACCTTCCTTTAAATCAAGGAAATAATCATACACCTGCCAAAAAAAACAAGCACACAATCAGGGGAAAGTAAAAAGTAAATTAGTCCATAAAAATAGAAGTCAACTGCTTGGAAACTCTAAAATTACTTGAAGGAAAAAGTAAATTAGTCCATAAAAACTTTATTAATAATTCTATAAAACGATCAGAAGACTGTCCTGGGTCAAAGTTGATAAGTCGGGTCTTCATTTGTCTCGCATTAATACTACAGGATGGAGCTTTATTCCAGGATGCGGGCAAGCCTCTATTTGGCATGCCTATTAGGAGAGCAACTTGGTCAGCATCAAATTTCAGCTCTTTTCTACCCAGCTGAAACGTCGTTCGATTAATATTCCAACAGTTAATTATATGCATTGTCAGAATATGATCCTGTGGGTATGGAGGGAGTTCAAAAAATTGAACCAAGCTCATGTTTTCCAACTTATTCCACCTGTGCTTGTCGATGGTGGGCCAGACCTTATCTAGAGCTTCTCGTACTGTAGATGGACGGCATCTGCAGTTCATTGATTTCGCGCTCAAAAACCTACATTTAATTTTAATATATGTTAAACTATGTAAATAATGATGAAAGAAATTTAAAATCTTATAAAATTCAGTCTTAAAATTCATAATTCAAACTTAATATAACTCAAGAAATTAAATTCACCATTAAACATTAATGAAAGCAAAATCTCAAATGTACCTAAAAACGACCTTGGGTTGCTTTATGGATTTGGTCTCATCTGTTTTCCCCGTTTTGGAACCACCTAAATCCTTCTTCTTGCTTCCACCCTTCACCATTAGCTTTGGCAGCTCAGCCTCAAACTTCTTGCCTTCCTCGACATCCGGCTTCTCCGCCTCCGGCTTATGGGCAACATTCTCCTCTTCCAACGACGCCGTACCCTTACCGCTGTCCTCCATTTTCGACTAAACCCTAAACAATACCAATACCTCGACGTAACATTGGAGTGAATGCAAATCCTAGGCGCTAACGAAAATAAGAATTCTTGCTGTCCCAAAATTTTTTACCACGGGTATTTGATCAGTGACGTTAAATGAAGATTACATTCGCTACCTAGGTTACCGCAAAGTTACACAAACATTTCAATTTCTCAGGCGATTACCGCAAAGTTACGCTTCACTTTCTCTCGGTTACGTGTCAGTTACAGCTCACTTATACAGCTAGGTTACAACGCGCGGTATAAACTCTCGATTACAGTTAAATTATAGCTCATTTACAAAGTTACGCATCACTTTATCTCGGTTACGAGTGAATTACAACTCAATTATACAGCTAGGTTACAACGCGCGGTATGAAATCTCGGTTGCATCTCGGTTACAGTGAGGTTATAAATGCGGTTCATTCGTCTTGAGGTTATTGAAAGGTTACAAGCCTGTTATTAGAGCGGTACCGCGGTAATGACCCCCTCGGTTACAACTCCTATAACTCCTGTACCGCTCGGTTATAACTCGGTTATAATCGAGCGGGTCGGGTAGGTCGCATTTGAATAAATGTAGTGGGACCGACATTACTGATTTGTCAAGAGCCCATTAGAGGACTCATGTAGCGCTGCTTAAGCAAATTTTCGGACCCAGACAGGCCCTGAGAGCTTTTGGGCCGGTCTTAATCCATCATCATGAAACTGAGCCGGGCTTTATACTAGATTGTCCACAAATAAGAAAGTTCCTTTCTCGCGCTCTCACCTTCAAGTCACGGAGAGGAGGACCCAGCAGGGATCTGAAGAGATATCCGACTTCCATTTCATGGCGGTGGAGACGGCGAAGAGCTTCAGCGGTGCCGGCGGAGAGGACGAGGTAGCGGTGGCTTCGGGACTCCTCCCCCTAGCCGGAGCTTCGCAGCAACCCTACGTCTCCGAACTCCTTTCTTTTACCCTCGATCGTCTTCACAAGGTTTGTTGTTTTTTGACGTCCCTTTCTTCTCACAGTTTCTCATCTAATGGTAGATCTAGGCGCGGCTTTACAGGAACCGGAGCTTCTGCGGGTGGACGCCGAACGCATAAGGAGGCAGATGCAAGAAGTGGCAGTGGGGAATTACAGGGCATTTATTTCTTCTTCTGACGCTCTCTCTTTCATAAGGGATCAGCTCATGGAATTTGACAAACATCTAGAGTCGCTGGTACTGGCACGCTCCTTAAATTTCCACTTCAGCTTAAGTAAATTTGATTTACTAGTCAATTTATTGCTTCAATGGTTCATATCTATCCAGTTAAGAACAGCCCTAGGCTTAGCGACATTGTATTGTGTTGAACCTTATTAAACCTAATCTACATTGCCCTCAAAGACGATCCTCTTCTCTTTTGTAGGGGCCCAAATAGGCATATCGATCTTTAGAACCTTTTGCAGTTACCCGTACAATTTCTACAAAACAAAAGGCTATGATACTATGACAAGAGCAACAATTTAAACTGTCACACCTTAGGTCTGTATGGCGGTACATCCAGACAACATAAGACATGATAAAATGTGGTAACCTGTTTTGTATTCTCACTAGAAATTATTGTATGAAAAAATAATAAAAATAAACAAGAAAAGACAACTTTATTTCCTTTCATATATAAGAGTTATATACAACTGAAGAAAAAAAAAAGAAAACTGAAATAAACTTGAATGACAATAGAGAAACACTACCCAAGACCCAATCAGACAAATAAAATGACTAAAATAAATATTGAAAATATCAAATATAATATAGAGTTGGAAATTCTAATCATGTTGTGTCGGTTCCGCAATTGGCTGAATTGAACCTGTTAGATAAAAATACCAATGAGTGAGTTTGAAAAATAAAACTCAATAAATAATTATTATTTTTTAAAGCATAAACGACAAATGAAGTGAGTCATGCAGTACAAACAATAAAATGAATGATCGAATATGTATAACAAAAAATTTTAAGGAATATAAAATGCCAATGATTATAAATATGGGTGATTTGAAGACGTGCGTTTTTATGTAGTTATTCATAATTTTTTATATCAAGTATGTTCATATATATATAGTTTAACCATCATTTTACACTATTTGATAATATACAAGTGCAATTTTCTACAACATCCTAAAACAATAGAAGTCAGGAACCAATTCCATGAAAATCCACTAATTTTTTTGAGGATTTGTCGGTCCGACTAGTTATACCTATAGAGTTTAATACCAACATAATAATATTATAATATAATATATGTTTCATGCACTACAATCAAAACACACAAGTATAACTATAATATGCTCACTAGTAATTATACATAATTATGAATTTGCAACAATTCAATTAAAAACATCTGTAAAAGAAGTAATAATGCTTGAACACAGGACACAAGTAATTAAACACACGTCCATGCAATAACGAAACTAGACTAACGACTAATGTAATTATTAAGAACAAAAAATAAAATCTGCTGCAATTTTATTAACATAATTTGAAGAGTACGAATGATAAATCTACAATTAACTAGAAATCTAATACACATAGCAAGGTTAACACCCCTAACTAAAAATGACGTGTTTATCTCAAAATAAAGTGCAATTACTTACTTCGTGGCGAATGTTCAACTCCAAATTTATTTGTTTAACTGACATTAACTAACAAATCTTACACAAATCATATTATGCACTTAAATGTTATGATTAATAAATTATTTGGTTAGATGTTGGGATTTATTTGAAATTAATACTATTCTAACCTAATGAAATTTTCACACAAATAGTAAATCTAATTGATTTTAAATTTGCTAACAATATTATTGAAATAAAGAGAAGTAAAATTCAAGGAGAAGTGAACTCACGTTAGGTTTCAACTATAGTGATAAGGAAGACGGAGCTACGAAGTGGCTAAAAGGAAGAGAAAGGTAGGAGTTTCGATGACCTTTATATGTTGTGATCCCTTCGCTGCCTTCCCGACTAGCTCTTAGGGTTTGGTTACGAAGGCGATGATTTTGAGCGTATCTGAAATTAGTGTTTGTAGGGGAGAGTGAAACAAAAGTGATGCCCTAATCCTTAGGCTCTACTTAAAGGAAGCAAAGTCGACGATTGTTCGTGAAGAGGATGGAAACTATTTGTACAGTTATAGTGGTCAATGGGATACGACTGCGAGAGAACGATCAAAAGTAGGAAAGGAAAGCTTCAAATCTAGGAAGAAAATGAAAAATCATGATTCAGCAAGTGGTGTGAGCGGGATTACGGGGGAATGAATAAAAAAGAAAGTTTTTGTTTTTACATACCACATTTCTTAAAAGAATTTGGTTCACACCCAAGGTTATATCAAACTGAAATAGTAAAAATACTATGAGCGTAGTAGAGATATACATTTTATTAATAACAATGTCACAATCATTAACCCACCGAGTGAAAGTCAGAGAATATTCATATGACATAATGATTGATACACGCTAATTTAATGAATAAATCCATATATTTGAGGCAAATTTGTATGATATGCATGGACAAAATGCCCCAGAGTCAAACATTATCACTGTCGATTGCCAAAAAGATATAGATAACACCTGTTATCACGTCAGAAGCTTCATGGACTTCTTGTCGAGACATAACAAATGCTTAAGGTTAAATCTCGCCCAGGTTGTTCTAAAGCTTGAGGTCATTGAGGCTGTTGTTGAGGCTAGTATTGCATCATTGAAGGGTGTTGATATGTTAGTAGCGACAACTGGTGCTATTGGTAATGTAATGCAGGGGCCGTTGCTGAGGCACTATCACTTGCTGTGATTGCTGCTCTGGTTTAAAATAGATTTGAAGTGCCTGTACTCGATCACCTTGCTTCTGATGTCGACATTTATTAGATTTATGCCTACCCATTTTTATGCTGCTTGAAGTAGGGCTGTCAATTTGGCTCGTTGTTCGTGAACAACTCGTGTTCGACTCGTTAAGCAGCTCGTATTCGGCTCGTTCGTTAAGCCTAACGAGCCGAACACGAACAAATTTTTAAGCTCGAAATGTAAAGGAGCCGAACACAAACAAAAGTTTGTTCGCTCGAATTGGCTCGAATACACACACACAGACACACATAATAAATATTCATAAAATGAAATACTATAAATTATAATTAATTATTTTTTAAAAAACCTTTTTTTAGAAAATATATTATTTTAATTTTATTTAAAAAAATTACTTATCATAATATTTTTATATTTTAACGAGCCAATTTCAAGCTAAACAAGAACATGAATAAGTTTTTCCACTGTTCACGAGTTGAACACGAACCGAACACAAACATACTGTTCACAAGACATTTCAAGCACGAACCAATTTCAAACACAAACCAATTTCGCAAGAGCCGAACACGAGCCCAGCCTGTGAGGCTCGGCTTGTTTACAGCCCTAAGTATCTTGAAGTTATTGTTCCGATATAATGTGGGCTGAGTTTTGGTCGGAAAAGGACAATCGTTGATCTTGTTATTGGTGTTGTAGCTGTTGAAGCACTTGCTATTGGTTAGGTTGCAAGGACCAGAACTCTCCCCGCAGTGATGGCAATTAGAATTAATATTTAGTTTATCTTCCAGGTCCTTTTGGGGTCCTTCCCATGCCCGAATATACACGTTCTTTCGTTTTGGAGCAATCTCTTCTTCACAAATATTAGGCTCTAACCCGACATGTACAACTCAATCCACCAACTCTCTATACACAATACACCTGACAACAAACAAACTCCTCTGAATATCTTCTTATAGGCTAAAAAATAAGTGGTAGATCTTTAGTTTTTTGTGTCGACCAATCGAAAGGATAATTATAACGATTTTGGCAAACTGACTCTTACTCGAATAGTTTTTGTTTCTTGCTCCAGTTTTCTTAAGTCGTTGATCATCTTGACACGGTTCGCCACAGGACAATATCGTTCCATGAGTAGTCTCTTGAAATCTGCTCAATAAATTACTGCGTTTGGTTTTAATATATTGCGACGATGGCTCTCCCACCAATCACCAGCTCCTTCGTGCAACCTTAAGGTCTTCATGATACTTTATTCTTGGAAGCTTTTTCTTGATATCATGAAGCCATGTACTTGACTCAATTGTGTATGTCGCACCGTTGAAGGTTGGAGGGTGCGTTCTCAAAAAATGGTCTACAATTAGATCCATGGTGCTCTCTTTAGTCATCACTACTGGTTGGTTAGATTGATCTTTCAATGTGCCAACTGGTGATACAAGTTGAGGTGCTTGCGGAGCTGGCTAAGCTGGTTATTGTATTGCCTGAAGTGCTTGCACGATTTGAGCGGCCATACTGGCTTGTAGTGGTTGGGCAACGTATCGTGTCACCATCTCTATGAGAGTTGTCATATTAAGTGGTGGTGCTTCTGTAGCTTTGACTGCTTGAGAAGGATTAGCAAGACGACAATTAGGGGAGCGAGGGAGTACCACTTCTATGCTAGCATTCAAGGCTTCTGTTACGTGAGTGGCTGCAACATCTTTTCTTTTTGGGAGCAATTCTAAACCATTATTATATACACAATCAAAACTGGCTAGATAAGTGACTAACTAGAATAACTTATCCCATATTCCATCATAAGAAGACAAAGGACATGGAATGCAAAGACAAGGGATGCTAAATACAAAACATAGGCTTTGATGCCACTCTGTCATATTCTGGGTCCGGAAGGTGATCTGCCTCGACAACGCATGACATATTTAAAGGATATTAACCTATCTTGTATTCTGAAATGAAATATTGTATAGAAAAATAATGTGAATAAACTAGAGAAGACAAACATTATTTCATTTCATAAATAAGAGTCATACAACTAGAAGAAATAAGAAAAATAACTGAAATAAATTGAAATGACAATGCAGAAACACTACCCAAAACCCAAAAGAACAAAAACAATAATTAAAGTAAATGCCGAAAATATCAAAATAGAAATCTATAGTTGAAAAGTCTGATCCCGTGAGTTGGTCCTGTAAGTAACTGAACAAAACCTATTTTACAAAAATAGAAATTGATGAGTTTGATAAATCAAACTCTGTAACTAACTACTATTTATTAAAACATAAACGATAGAAAGCACGACATGCAATATGAACAATAAAAGTGACAATTTACTTTATATATAACAAAAACTTTCAAAGAATATCAAAGTTGATGATCATGAATATGAGTGACTTGCACATATGTACTTTTATGTAGATATTTATAGGTTACCTCGTAAGTTGTATTTATACACACAACGCTTAACAATCCTTTATATATATAGTTGTGCTGCGTACCCCGATCTGCTTGTTGACATCCATGATATAAGACTCCTCAGGTCATGGGTTAAAATCCCCTCTGGCACAGTTGGTCTTAAGGAGTTGATACTTGATTTGTTAGACACATTAGGGGTGGTTGGAGGCTCGTATAATAGCCTATGACCATTCCTTTTAATACACACATAGACACACATACTCAAATTTTTATGATACCCTAAAACAAGAAAATGTAAGCACCAATCCCAGGAAAATTCACTGATTTCTCTGAGGACTCTTCGTTCCGGCTTGCCCTAACAAAAGAGTTCAATACCGACATAATAATATTATATTATTATATATGTTTTATGTACTACAATCAAACTATAGGAATATAGCTACAATTTGTCAACTAGTAATTATACGCAATCATGATTTTACAACAATGTGATTTAACACATCTATAAAAGTGATAAATAATGGAAACACTGACAAATAATTAAACAAAAGTCTATGCAGTAATGGTACAAGACTAATTACTGATGCAATGCATTATGAACAATAAATAAAATCTACTGTTATTATATTTACAAAATTTAAAGGGTACAAATGATAAACTTACAATCAGCTAGGAATCTAATTCAAATAGCCATGTTAATGCCCCCAACAAGGAAGACTACGTTTATCCCTTAATAAATAACTTTTATTTACCTTAGGATGAACATTAAACTCCAAATTTATTAGTTTAACTGTGGTTAACTTGCAAATCCTACAAAAAGCATAATCTACCAAATTTAATGATTATGTAATTAATTATTAAGATTAATAATTTATTAGGTTTGGTGTAGGGATTGATTTGAAATTAAAACTATTCTAACCTAATCAGACTTTCAAGCAAATAATAAATCTAATTGATTTTAAATTTGCCAACCATATTATTGAAAGAAAGAGAAGTATAAAGCAAGGAGGGGTGAACTCACCTTAGGTCTTAGATACGGTGGTAAGGATGGCAGGGTCGCGAAGTTGCTAAGAGAGAGATAGGAGCTTCGGTGGTCTCTATATGCCACAATCAGGTCGTTACCTTCCCAACTAGTTCTTAGGGTTAGGTCAGGAAGGCGATAGTTTTGAGCGTAACTGAGATTGGTGGTTGTAGGGGAGAGTGAGATAGCTGCGATGCTCTAAACCTTCGGCTCTACTTAAAGGAAGTAAAGGCGGCGACTGCATGCGGAGAAAAAGGAAACAATTTGCACGGTTAAAGTGATGAGGAGATAAGGCAGTGCGAGAACGATTGAAAGAAGGAATGGAAAGATTTGGATCAGGGAAGAAAAAGGAAAGTCGTGATTAAGCAAGTGGTGCCATCGGGATTGCGGGGAATGAAAAGAAAGGAAGTTTCGGTTCTTACATAAACTTCCTATGACTGTTTCAATTTCCTAGGTGGAAATAAGGCCCCTTAGTTCATTATTTAGGGCTTTCTTCTTTATCTTTAGAGGTAATGGCTAAAATGGATATTAAATATTTTTTGATAACATTGGAAAAAATAAATTTGTTTAGCTGTTTAAAATATCTTGATTGCTCTGGCGATTCCTCAAGCTACTTAGCATTCTTGTTACGTTTGGTTCCGAATTTTTAATTTGTTTTGTTGCTGAATGTGTATATAGACTCCCTGATGATTGTGTTAAGACGGTCTATATTCATCCTTTTCGACGTAACAGATTTGTTTAATTAAATGCAAACGTTGTAATGTTCGTGCTTTTCTCATGCTTATTGTTAGGAAAAGCATAAATTTTTTTGAACTACATATCAAGGGCGACTATAATGAATACACAAAATATTAAAAAAAGATCAATCAACACAAAAGTAATTAAATTTCTTATGATTCAGCCAAAATATATATTAAATCGATGTGGAAGGAGAGCAAATTTGATTCACCATCAAAAGCAATTGCAGCATAGCTTTATAAGTAAAAGAAGGCATAACAACTCTTCTTCCCACACCATAGTACACCCAATTTTCTCATGAAAGAGAAACCCTAATTCTATTATATTAAATTCCACATAATTCCACATATAATCATACAGAAGAGATGATAGATGATTAAAAAAGAATATTCAAATAATGCCATAAATCTCCAGTTGAATGCTTCTCAAAATTACTTAATGCTTCCTAAGGTTCCACCATACTTATTCTGGCACTACCATGCTTGCACCACATCAAAATAGTTTCATAATTGTTACTACTAAATGAGCCAAGTAGTAATCTTTTTTATAGTCTCTCATTGCTCGCTTCTTCTCTTTTTCATTCTAATTTCTTCATCTCATGAACTTTCTCCTAAAAACACTCTTGCACACATTTAGTTAGCTAAATTAATGGCGGCGTATCATCTCTACCATTAGCCAAATCTCATCTCAAGATTCTTCTCCTTCCCCAACCATAAGGGTGGTGTATCACATCCACTAATTCACAATGGTGCCTTGACCAGATCTCATGTTATTTTCTTCCATCTCCACTTTGGAAGACCTCCACAATAATTTTTTCATTTATTTTCCCTAAGCTAAAAGGCTTTTTGGGATCGAAAGCATGCCCTTCTGTCTTCTCTACGTGACTTGATCTGGTTTTATGGCTGTATCCGGAATGTTCTACTGGATGAATCTTCTTTTACCGTTACCGTGCGGTTTTTCTAGGTCAGTTCCATGTCATTTTCTCTATATTCTTCCATCCTTGAATGTCACAACTGCATTTGCCTCTAGGAGCCGCATGACCCACCCTACCCATATGGTGGGTTGACCACTTTCTCTATTCTTAAAGGAACCTTAATAGCAGGCAGTATCAATTTTATCCATTTTGTATCTCTGCTAACGGTTAGGATAATCCTTCATGAGCAAAGAAAAATTTTAGATAGACATGCTACAAAATTATATGGAGGTAAATTTTACTGAAAAATGCACTAAACCTATATGCGTTAAGCATGCCAAATGACAGGTTACTGTTTTCCTCCAATATGAAAAGAAAAGCTTATTTACTCTAGCATATTAAAAAAAATGGCCTTCTCGATTGATTTGCATTAGTACGTCTTCCTACATTTCTGTGCTTTCCTTCAAAAAGTATGTAGGCAATGTTTTGACTACTTATATCATCTTACATCCGCATCTATTTGCACTGAGCTACAATTTTGGAATCTAATTTTAGATTTTTGTCTTTATAACGTACCAATTCATGATAAACTCTGATTGTGATGGTTCTCTTTGAAGCACTTTTTGCTTGGCACAAACACTACTTTCCCACATTAGGGAGGGGGTTCAGCAAGGAGTAATCATGGACTTGCTCCAGTCCAACAACAAATGTGGAGGTTGTCATGAATTGGTATGTGATGGTGTTTGACATAATTATCCTCTTTATTCTTGATAATCTGTTTGGAACAGATGTTTGAGGCTTTATCTATGTTTTCCATGAAATTATAAAAACATAATTTCTAAGGTTAATCTTGTTAAGTTCTTGTTGGAACATTTATAAATCACTGATAGTTTATTTTATCATCATTGCCATCCTTGTTATCTCATTAAAAAAAAAAAAGCTCAAGAATGCTACATGTTCAAACTCATTCTTTTCTTTGTCATCTATTGTCATTTGCTTGGAGGCTTACTTATTTCTCATTAAAAAGTAGCCCTAGGATCAATTAGTTCAACATCTATTTTGTACAGTGTATAAATCATTTGTCTATCTTGAATGGAACTCTTTTAAGAAAGTATGTGTGTGGTTTGATTCTATTCAAGATTTTTATGAAAGATATGCAGCTGCATCATGATCTTTGATATCTATCTATGGTAGATTGTGAACAACATTGTTCGTCCTCGTTGCAGACAACTGAGATTCCAAAGCTTACATCTGGTTGCACCGAGTTCATCGAGTTAGCTCAGCAAATTTTGGAAGAGAAAAAGCTTAATGAGACATTGTTAACCAATCATAGTACTCTGCTTGACCTACTTGAAATTCCCCAGCTAATGGACACGTGAGTATTTCTGTCACCTCAATTATTTTGAGTTAAAGGAATACTAGTCACAGTTGGGACTTTTTACATTATATTTTCCGGTCCTTGATGATTTATAAGAGATTGATCTCAATATTATACTTTTTTTTTGCATTAAAGTTTGGGTCAATTACACGTAGATGCATGAGATATGAGAAATACTTTACTTTAATTTATCCTTTTAGACCCCTAATACCTTTGTAATACATAAGTTGGTCCTTGAATTTAATTGTTAGTTTTCTTGGAATTCTTTTTTTATTAAGAATGTTAAAATTTCCATCAAAGGCAATCACGTGAATATATTTGTTATTGGAAGTGCAAATTTTCTATTTTATTAGAAAAAAAAATGCCCAAATTTATTAGGGTCGGCTAGTGCTGGAGAGAAGGTTAATAAGATTTCAAACAATTTCCAAGTATTATTTGGCTTAGATCTTTTTGTAAAGAAACCAAGAATATTCATTGCACATCTCTGATTACTTGCCTTTTTCTCCTTCATGTAGCCTCCAAGGTGTTCCTCCTTGGCCGGTATATGTTTTACTGGTTCTGCTTCATCTTAAGCCTTTTTCGGGCACCTAAACTCTAATACTTACTAATTAAGCACCCAAAACTTGAATCTTTTTGCACAACCCCCTTTTGCCTTAATATTTGTTGACGTTTTCTTGGTTGGTTTCTCTCTTTTGCTACTGATTTTTCAGCCTTGTGCGCTAGTTTGGTTTCCATACAATAAGAGAGAGGAAAGGGAGGGAAACAGAAGATGAATTTAAGTCGAAGGATGTTACTCGACCCTTTTTAGCAAAACAAATTGAGAAAGAGCATGACTATTGGGACTTCTTTATGTTTTATTAACAATTCTGTTGATAAAAATGAAGATATTTAATATCCCCAAACTCAAATATTGGATTATTAGAAATGCATTATGTTGTATATGCATGCATATCTTGTAGACTAACTTTAAAATATTGTAATCTTATGCTTTATGGAATTTCTTATAAACTTTTCAATGAAGTATCTGAAAATACGATCTATCTTAGTGATTTTAATATCATTAATATTAATAAAATATTTTATTTTTACCATCACATTAGTGAAAAAAAAAGTTGAGGAGGCTTTAAAGAAAATCAAGGGTGAAAAATCAGTAGGACTTAATGATATTCCAATTGATGTGCGGAAATATTTAAGAGATTTAGGAGTTTCTTGGCTTATTAAACTCTTTAATGTATTTTAAAAATAAAAAAAAATGTCTGAGGAATGGAGGAAGAGTATTTTGCTTCCCATTTTTAAGAATAAAGAGGATGCACACAAGTATGCAAATTATAGAGGAATTAATTTGATGTGTCATGCTTTAAAATTATGGGAGAAAACAATTGAACATAGGTTAAGACGTGATACAAAAATTTCTCATAATTAGTTTAGATTTATGCTGGGCAGGTCTACCATGAAAGCTATACATTTATTGAGAGGTTTGATGGAGAAGTGCAGAAAGAACAAGGAAGATCTACTTATAATTTTTATTGATTTTGAAAAAACTTACGATAAGATTTCAAGAGAAGTCCTTTGGAGAGTTTTAGAGAAGAAATGTGTTGATATGACTTATATTCAAGTCATTAAAGATATGTATACTAGGCTATTACTTGTGTACGAACGAATGAGGGTTGACCAAGTACTTTCCTATTTTAGTTGGATTACATCAGGGATTGGTTTTAAGCCTATGTTTTTTTGTTTTAGTTATGAATGCTCTTACTGGACATTTACAGGAGGATGTACCTTTGTATATGCTTTTCGCTGATGATATCCTTCTTGTGGATGAGACTAGAGAAAGAGAAAAATTGAATTATGGATGTCTATATTGAGTCTAAAGGCCTTTGTTTCAATAGATCTAAAACTGAATATATGGAATGTAATTTTAGTAGTAGTAGCTCTAGCTGCAGAGTTGTAACTTTGGGAGATCAATTCATTAAAATGTGTGTACGTTTTAGATATTTTGGATCTATTGTTCAAAGCAATGGTGATATAGACGGGGATGTTATTAGTAGAATTCAAGTTGGTTGGTTGAACTGGAGGAATGCATAGGGCCTATTGTGTGATAGAAAAATACCATTTAGACTGAAAGGAAAATTTTATAAGATGGTGTTGAGAGCTGCAATGCTCTATGACGTAAAATGTTGACTTTTAAAATCGAGCATAAAACAAAATTAAGTGTTGCTAAAATGAGAATGCTTAGGTGGATGAGTGGATTGAGACTTAGAGACAAATAAATATATCCGTGATAGGGTTGGTGTAGCTCCAGTGACGGACAAGATTAAAGAGAGTTGTCTTAGATGGTTTGATCACATCAAACGTTGACCATTCGATGATCCTGTTGGAAGAGTAGATGTTTTAAATTTGACTTATGTTAAGAAAAGCAGAGGTAGACCTAAAAAGTCTTGGGCATATTGTATAAAAGAAGATCTTAATGTGTTAGAATTAAATGAAAATACGACACTAAATAGGAAAAATGATTCATATAGCTGACCCCACTTAGTGGGATAAAGGATTGTTGTTGTTGTCGTCTTTGTTGCTTTATGCAATTTCTATCAGTGTAATATCTGACACATAAGTATAATTTAAGGTTCAGCGTTTACATACTATAAATTTATACTATAATTTCTATAACCTGTTACCGTTATCCTCTTTTATTTTCATCAATTCTTATTTAATTTACCGGTATTGTACATTTCAACTTGGAAGGCTGAATGTGAAATTACAGGGTATAGACTTATGACAATTTAGCATGGTCACAGTGGGAAAATCTTGTAAGATAAATGTAGAAACTCATTTTTCACCGATTCTCAGATATTTCAATAACAATATTATACTGATCAAATTGGAAATATTTTTGAAGCGCCAAAAGTTCTATATACTATTTCCTTGAGAAAAATGAAGTATGACTGGGATGCATCATGTAGAATGTTTCTGCAAAGGTGCTTGATTTTTACATGTTAGCTGACCCGAGTTTGCGGGTCTTTCTTTCAAGATAGTATTGTTTTTGAAGATTTATTTTATTTATTTTTTCGTGGCTACTGCAGTAGAATATTAGGAACCGGCCTTTTGATTTTCTACTTATTAGCGGCACTATATACAATCATTTTTTTTCTATTAACCGATACTGCTAACTGCCTTCAAAATTATTAGAGAAGATTTTTTTGTGTATGTATGTTCATACCTGTTTTATTGCTTTTACTTTGTGGTTGTTAACTTAGATAGCCTTGTTGCCATACTAAGCATTTGATGGTTTCTATGTTTCATCCTCATATAGCGTTTCATATTCATATTTTTAGGGGCCGTTTTGGATCGAATTTGTTTTTATTTTTAATTTTTGTTTATGTTTGATTTAAAATAAAGCATGTTTTGCATATTTGATTAAGATATAATTGCTTTTAAAAACACTAAAAACATCTAAAAATTATTTTGAGTGCTTTAAAAGTATTCAATTTGTTTTTAGAAAAAAAAAATTAACATTTAAAAAACACAATGAACAAACATATTTTTAAAAACAGTGGAAAAACCAAAAAAAAAAAAAAAAAGCAAAAAGCAAAAAAACAAAAGTGGTCCCAAAGAACTCTTAGTACTTCTTTTTTGTTTCTAGTTTTCGTTTCTTTGCATTTGTTTGTAAGTTTTTTCATTTATATAATATGCTCAAGTAAATAATCAATTTCTCCTCTCGTTTTCCCTTGGAACAGACCTTTTTGTTGCCTTTTGTTTAGTGTTTTGGCTGTTTTTTATTTTTATTTTGTAAATAGGCCTCTTTCTTAGTCAAGTGAATTTCTGAGCTCCAGGAAATGACTTTACTTTTGACTAGCTTTCATTTTTTACTTTTATATTGCAGGTGCGTAAGAAATGGAAATTATGATGAGGCTCTTGACCTGGAAGCTTTTGTTTGCAAACTAGCAAAAATGCATTCCGAGTAAGTAGTTGTTTTCTCCTGAAATTCGCTTTTGATCTTCCTTAATTTTCATTAACACATAAACTTAATTTTTTTTAAATTTATACCACCCAAATATTTCGTATCACATAAATAATATCACTATTTTAATTTTTTGAAGTGAATGACACAGAGTATTGAGTTCACAGACCACGAGTCCTGCAATTGCAGCAGGGCCAATCTGAGAGTTTTTCTTCTCTTTTCTGCTTCTTTTCCTATTTACCTATTTTACAACTAACTTATTTCCTCAAGGGCCTTTATATAAGTGTGGAAATATGTGTTTGCTATTTGTATTTATCCTCATTTATTTCTCTATTATTATGTTTGTAGTTCTTTTCTTATATATTTGTTGTATCTTTAGTGTTGTAATAGTATGAATTGTGTTTGCCCTAGAGTTTACTCTCTATATAACGAGAGGAGTTGTAATTTGAAGATTAAAGAATGAGAGAATTTTTTCTCGGATGTTTTCGTTCATGGTATCGGAGACTTAGATCAAATCCTAGCATCCTTCTCCCTGCCAGAACACTCCCAGTGCAAGGAACTCCTGCCCTGCACAGCCGCAGGAAACTTCTTCCCTGCACAGAAACAAGTTTTGACGGACCTCCTCCTCTTCAACCGGAGTTTTCCTCTACTTCCTGCTCTCATTCCTGCAGTCAACTTGCCAGCCGGATCTCCTTCTACTGGCCAAATCTCCTGCCCACAGAACCTTCGTAGGTTTGCTGATCCTTCCCGTAACTGTTCCTTCCTGTAGTAGAAATACTATCAGGGTAAGCAGAGCAGCCGCAGTAGCAGCTAGCCTGCCCATAGCTTATTGCACCAGGCATTCCTCCTTAGCAGTTCTGCCAACTTCTCCTTGCAGCAGCAACAACTGTGGCAGATCCCTCCAGCAGCAGAAAAATCCCTGCAGGCTAGTTCTTCACCTGAAACTCTTTTGTCCAACAACAAAAAAACTTAGTGGCAGATCACTTTCTACCAGATTCTCCCTGCTGACTTCTTCGACGGAACTCTCATGTCCCAGCAGTAGCTACAATAGAAGCAGATGCAGCCGCCGATCCTCTCTAAGCTGCAGGCCCTCATTTGCACGCACTCATCTGATCTTCATGCAGGAAGATTCTCCCCTCTGGAATTCTCCCTGCAGCTTGAAATCTCCTTGCTCAAGTCCCCCTCCTCCGGCAGAATCATCCTTTAGACAACCGTCTTCCTGCAGGTCCTCCGGAATTCTCTACCTTCTTGTAGGCAGTCCGTCAGAGCTTCTCCCTAGAGACCTCAATGCCGGAATTCTCCCTGCAGGTCACAAACTCCCTATATGCCCTCTTAGTTTCTGTTTCATCTCCCGCCAGGTTCTCTGTAGACTGCTAGTCACAAGAGATCCTCTTTGTGCTATTCCTAACCCGCAGGAGCAGTGAATTTGACCCTGTAGGAGCCAAACTTTCTTCCTTCCCGTCAGTCCTTTGAGAGCAATAAGGAATCTTCTTCGTGCTATTCCTAACCCGCAGAAGCAGTGAATTTGACCCTGTAGGAGCCAAACTTTCTTCCTTCCCATCAGTCCTTTGAGAGCAATAAGGAATCCTTTCATCCCAAAATTTGCATAAGGTTTATGACTAAGTACAAAGTGAAGAAGTCTAGTTCTACTATGGAGCTTACCAGCTTGATGATTCACCATAGTATCATACCTTCTTACGTTGCTAACTATGGGAGATTTCGATTTCGGATAATATATTTAGGTGCTTCTAATCACATGACTGAGGACGTTCACGCTCACATCAATTTCCGATAGCACCATCCCTAAATTTATTAGACTTGCTGATGGATCTCACTCTAGGATTTTCGGGATAGGAGATGTTCAAAGACATTCAACTTTCTTTAGTGCTATATGTTCCCAAACTAGATTGTAATTTACTTTCAATTAACAAGCTTACTTTTGACCTGAATTGTCTTACTAAATTCCATTTTAATTTTTTTGAATTTCAAGTGGTGGATTCGAGGATGGTTATTAACAGTGCTTAATTGCATCGAGGTTTACATTTGCTCAAGGAGAACTATTCTCTTAACGCACAAGTGTCTTCTCCACCATCATCTTCTCATGATCCAGAGTTTGTCGTGGGCTAGTCTATTAAAAGTCAGGTTTCTTCATGACTTTGTGTCCGGGTCATCCCAATTTTCATTATATTGCAAAGTTGTACTCCTATTTCTTTATTCACAAAAAATCAAAGTTCTATTAGTGTGAAACCTGCCAGTTGGCTAAGAAATGCTCGTTATGTAAATCTCTCATCTCAGTAGAAACCCTCAAATTCTTTTTCTATTATCCATAGTGATATTCAGGGACTTTCAAAATCGAATCCCATTAATGGACACAGATGGTTTGTATCCTTCATTAATGATCACTCTAGAACTAGTTGGATATTTCTCATGAAGGAGAAATATGAAACTGCACAATTCTTTCAGTTCTTTTATGACATGATTTACATTCAGTTCCAAAGTTAAATTGAGATTCTCAAAACTGATAATGCAAAATAATACTTCAACTCTATCCTTGGACCCTTTATTATAAAGAATGATATCAATCGTAAGAGTTCTTGCATTGAGGCTTCACAACAAAATGAGATAGCTGAGAGGAAGAATATACTTCTCCTTGAGGTATCTTGGTCTATAATAATTTCTCACAATGTTTCAAAAGTTTTTTGGAGAGATGCTATGCTCATAGTCACTTACTTCATTAATAGAATGCCAAGTAGGGTTCTTAGATTCAAAGTCTCTCTTCATACTTTGATAGAAAAAACCCTCACGTTAGCTTTCTCATTCAATATTTTAAAAAAAATATTTGGTTGTATTTCTTTGGTCTACATTCACCAATCAAACCGCACAAAACTGACTCAAAATCCATCAATTTTTTTGCTTGGTCAAGATTTTAACTAAAAGGGGGTACAATTGGTATTCTCACTGTCGGCCAACTTTTTTATTTTGAAAATAATTTTTTAAATTTAATTTAATATATAAGAAGTAAATAATTTGAGTTTTGAAAGTAGTATGTTTTAATTTTCGAAAAATAAAACCAAATGGATCTCATTAGTCTAATGGTTTGCATAATCGTGTCCGATACAACAAATACTACACCTTTTCGAAAGATAAGTGTATACCTCGGCGATGGACCCAATCCTGCAAACTAAGAGATTTTTGACATCCATTTGACATGTGAAATTTAATGTGTGACCGACAAGTTTCTCTACCTAATATAAATATTAAGTAGAGTTTATTTTACTTGGGTTTCAAGTTTCTTATAGAGGCAAACCTCTATAGTTAATTACATCCCAAATGATGGGGGTCACTTGAGAAAACTCTCGATGATGATCAGTGGTACCGGTCTTCAAGAATTCAAAGTTTAGGTTTTCATGGTAGGACGTGGAAAAACAAGTGAGAGTGACTCAAATAGGAGTGAGAGTGACTCAAACTCAAATAGGAACAATTATTTTCAGGAGTTCAAATGAAGGAAAAGGGTAGGAGACGTCATAGATCATGAGGAGATCCCTCAATGACTTCTCAAGCTATCCTACTGTGTGACTAATTTTTGGAAACGATGTTATTAAGGTGTTTAGTCCTGCTAGTTTTATTATTTGGGACTTACATTTGCATAATAGTCGATTATACAAATAACCCGCAAAGACATGAGGGTGTACGTCGTAACGAACGAAAATCTCAGAACCTAAAGCGAATTAAGACATACGCTACACAACGTGGTTGTACAGGTGGCTAAAGAGGGTGTGAGGATTTACGTCGCGCTGGACGAGCTACCTCGAAATCCTATGGGTTGTTATTTAGATTAATGAGAGATAAATTGTTGAAGAAAATTCTCTTGTTGCTCGCTCCAAGCTCCTTGTTGTGCTGCCCGTAAAGCTGGCTCTAAGCTACTCGTCGAAGTAGCAGTTCTAAAGTTTGAGGTTCAAAAGGTTTTACCAGATGTGTTTAAGTGACAAGTTTTGTTATTATTCAAGCATTATGGGGGGTTTAAATTTGAGTAGAGCGACATTGGTTAGGATTCCACGGTTTCTTTGTTCTGGTACTTAGTTTAATCGAGTTGTTAAGTTCATTTAAATTGGGGAGATCTCGTTAGCAACCGTGGGTTATCTCATCTGAGGGACTCCAGTAAATTCAAAAGAACGTGCTATGTTTTTTTTTTTTTAAATGTTTAATTTTTGAAAAAAAAACTATTGTTTTGAAAATGTTGTTGAATTTTGGAATTTTTTTTGAGAGATCTCACCGACGCGAAGTTTGATTTCATTTCTTTCATCTGTTTCAAGGGTAGCTCCACGATCATTTAACGTTTCGACAACGTCCGAACTTACCTCGCAAATGTACACCGAGAAGTTGGTATGAGAATTCCGTTCATTGAAAGATTACACATATAAATGTGCAGATGTGCATAATGAAAAACATGTCAATAGTCAAATGTATTGAATATGTACGCTAATGCATTCACATATTTCAAACTCAATTTCACATTTCACATGAGAGTTGACTTCAATAAGCTTATAAAGACAACGGCTAAGTCAACCCACCAAAAGAGCTTAATCCCCATAAGTTTCATATTTGCATAAGGCCATACCAAAATCAGTGTTTAAAGACTGTCAAAACTACATTCAAACAAGTGTGCAAATCAACGCCTAAACGCTACGTACATCTCTCCAAAACAGTAGGTAAACCAACTCTAAACAACGTGTAGTATGTAGCAAAAAAATTCTTCTGTCACACATGTAAGTATTCAAGCTCTAAGTGTGGGACATGCAAACTCATAAGAACTGGATAATATATATGTATGCAACAAAAAAAAGAAGTTCAGGTGTTAAATATGTGCATACACAAGAATTATGCGGTAGGTATGTAAATACTACCCAAATCAAGAACTACGATATAAACAACTTGTTCGTTGAATACTTCACAATATATTCATAATTTCAGATGAAGGTGATAAACAAACAACAAGTAAT